GTCCCTATTCCGTCTCGTCCGTTGCCGCCCCTCGTCCGTCCGGCTTGGCCCAACGCCGTTAGGCCATGTTTGGCACTTTCCTGATCCGTAACTTCCGGTTTCATCGGGTGCCTAGAACCCCGTTGGACCACACACACGACCCAACCTCCCAAATTTATGACCCGTCACTCGATTACCCCACGTCCCTTTTCTTCTTTCTCTCCCTCCTTTTGCACCCAGACCCAATTTCCCACTCTGTCCCTTACCTTTTGGTTGACCAACTTTCCTGACCTCGTCTGGACTAATCGTAATTTTGTCGATAATTACGGCCATAAGTGTACTCCGTTATAAGTTATTCATTATTTTTCCGGTAATCAACCCCCTTCTCAAAAAAGGGGGCGCCTGCCTGTCCTTGGACTATCCTGCCTTGCCTGCTGTCTGACGCTGCCTGTACCTACGTTGACCGCCTCGCCTGCTCCCTGACCCTCTGCCCGGACCTGACTCACCTTCTGCCCGCCTCGCCTGCTCCCTGACCCTCTGCCCGGCCCTGACTCACCTTCTGCCCGCTGTCCTCCGGTTCGTTTGCCTGTACATCATCCGGTATTCCTCTGCTCTGGTATTATTACCAATAAAGTACATTACCAATACTCCGTGGTTTCTCGAGTGCTGCATTTGGGTCCTTCATAAGATTGTGACAATAGTTTCATGTCGTGTTACATAAGAATAGATTATATTTGTTAAGTGTTAAGAGAATTACTATTCTTGTGGTATACTGCCTTATTAGGCTCATATTGAGCAGCGCATATTAAGACCAAAACTCATGTACAACAACTTCCTTACTTGCAATAAATAAACACTAATCAGAGGGTTATTGAGGAAAAACTCTCAACTAATGGCTTATTACTTGTAGAATATGGTCATGTAGAATAAGGCATTAATAAGTGTTTTATAATGACTAATAAAGGCCAAATATACTGCTAATATGCTTGTTAATTAACAACTAGTTGATGGTTAATTTGTGTACCTTAATATAAAGTGTTACCATGTTTTCTTTGTGATCCTGTCCAGTGAACTCAAAGCTGAATCTTCTTACTGATGCACTGAAATACATAAAGACAAAACAACAACATCTTTGACAATTAAACCTTCAAAGGGTTTGGTGATGTTTAAATATCCAGTGTGTAGGATTTAGTGACATCTAGTGGCTTTGTCCTTCCTGGGCTACTGTTAAAACATGGCCGTGCAACATGGTAGACTGTGGATCAGTGGTTAGTGTGATGGACTTCGACTCAGGGGATAGCAAGTTTGAGTCCCACTGCAATCAGCATGTCATTGTGTCCCTGGGCAAGACACTTCACCCCAAATTGCTCCTCTGGGGATTGTCCACAGTACTCAATGTATGTAAGTCGCTTTGGATAAAAGCGCCTAAATGACATTGAATGTAATGTATTAGAATAATATGTGTTTTTATGCCATTTTTGTCATATTGGTTAAGAAAAATCACTTGTATATTTAGTATTATATTTTGGTTCACATTAGAAATATTTTATATTTAATTTTTCACAACTTCTAATTTTAGACATTTTTTTTACATTTTGAAAAAAAACGTTTTGAACATATTGTCCCTTAGATCTCCACTATTCTGAGACCCTCACAGTATTCCAGTCCCTTTTCAAAACTCATCTCTTCTCCTCTTGTCTACTCAGGCAAAGCTTGGGGTAGTAATACAAAAACTACAATTTCTTAAAATTTAAATTTAAAATTTGAATGGCATGATATGCAAAACATATTTTTTGTGGAATAGCTGGAATATGAAATGATAAAAAAATGTAATTACAAAGATACTTCAAGAAAACCACCTCACCGGGTCCAAAAATATCCACTTATGCATCTAAGGGTTGAGAAGTTGAGTGAATTGCCATAGTAACCTCCTCCCAAAAGCAGTTTTACTTCCAGTAAAAGGGCTTGGCCTTGCAGGTAGCAGCATCCTCGTGATTTCCACTTTGAAGTAATGGTGTGTGTGAGAAATCCATTACTTTAGCCCTATTACCCTGCTGTGATGCTTGTGGGATATATGACACTCCATTTCGTCTCATTTCCTGCCCTCACTGCCATCATATTCTCTCATAGTGTAAAAGAAATTGCATTTTACCACTCCTTCTTTTTTAAAGTCACAAACATGTTTTCTGTTTTTGAGTGCACTGCCTTAAAATAATATGTGGGACTGCAGGGAAAAAGAAGGCTTGTATAAAATATGCAGGAATCTTTATGCAGATCCAGTCTCTGGTGTTGTCTATTCCTGATTACAATTCAACCAATCTCAGGAGTACATGAGTCCGCCCCTCTTTGCTGTCAAGGAAGATTACAACTGACTATATTAAAAAAACAATCTATTCTTGTTCTCCTTTAATCCTGGAGTCCCCGTAGAGTCTGTTATGCTTATGTGTAGGAAGATGTAGCATCTCACCGCGGTCATCATTAATTGTGGCAACAACTGTACATTTACTTAAGTACTATATTGCATCACAATTTGGGGGTATTTGTACTTTACTGGTATAAAGTAACCAAGTAGATCATCCCAAGTACTGTACATTTGTTACTTTGCAGATTTGGATTAATGATGTGAAATATAATCAACACTTGGTTAACACTTGGAGTAATAATTCAACAGCCCCTGCAGCATGAAAGGTAATTAAAACGATCTGCACATTTACCAACTTTCATTCACACATAAATGCATCAATAATTATAATCAAAACATATGATATTATTCTGAAATTGGCTAATTTGCATAATTATTACTTTCACTTTTGGTACTTTAAGTGTTTTTATAAGCTCATACTTATATTAGTTAAGAGTAACCTTTTGTACTCGGGATTTGTACTTGTAACAGAGTATTCCTACAATCTGGTACTTTTACTTAGGTATAAGATTGGAGTACTTATTCCACCCCTGTATAAGATACACATTTAGTCATCAGTAATAACAACCTATCCAATATTTAAATAAAGGACTTCTAATAAGGTATTTCATCAGTGTGGCATTCGTACTTTTACTTAAAGTGGACCTATCATGCTATATTTGAAACATATATTGTTGGGCCATACCTATATAAAATATGTCTGTGAAGTTTTTTTTTTCAAAATACCAAACAGATCATGCATTTTAGCCATGCCTCGTTTCGCTCTATTTGCTCTTTTCCAGCCCTGTTTTTGCAANGGCTGATTCTGTGAGAAGTCTTCTTCGCTGCTTTTGTGGCAGACTACAGCGCCACTTACATGCCTGGCATATGTACTACAGCGCTTTCGAGCGGTCTCTCATTCCCGTGATAGGTGGAGAGTTGCCCATATATTTCTGACGTCAGAAAAATTCAAATAATAATCAGCTCCGTTGAAGCCCCGTTTTTAGAGATTTGGGTACGGAGGAAAAGAAAGAGGGTTGTGTTTTCTGACACTTGGTGAGTTCCCT